GAAAGGGCGCCACCTGTTCTTGTCATGTATGTGCACGCTTACGTTGTGCATGCTCGTGTGCCTCGGCGTTCTGAAACGGGGGAGCGCGTGTGTCCGCGCCCCCCGCGGCCTCCGAGGGTAGTGGTGCTTCGCCGGCAAGGGTCGGTGTGCTGGACTGGCGTGTGCGCGTGCCTCTGGAGATGATTGGGCGTCCCTGCGCAGGGGCTGGTCGCGTTTCGCCTGTTCGTGCCGTGTTGTGCTGTCGTGCCGCTGCCGTCTCTTCTTTCGCAAACCTAGATCGCGCAGCGCTGGGCCATCTTTCTCAGGACGAGGGTGCCGCGATACCAGCCAACGCAACTCTTATTCGGACCAGAGGGCGGGCCGACAAAGAAAAGCGGGCCAGGGACAGAACCAAAACAGGCGGGGAAACGGCGAGCGGGGGAGCTAGGGGGGGAGGGAGAAGAAAGACGACAACGGGAAGGGACAGACGGGGCCGACAGACGGGACGGGGAAACGGAAACGAGGGAGCCAAGCCGGGGGAGGGAGGGAGGAGACACGACACACGAGGGCAAGGGAACACAACGGCAGGGGGGCACAGAAGGGAAAGGGAAAGGAAGGGAGCCAAGAGCCAGGAAGCACTGGGCCAGCGGGCCAGGGATGGGGCCCGCCACAGGGCACGGCGGTGGGAAAATGAGGCCCAGGGCAGATAAGTTTGCTCTGCTGCGTTTCTGTGCTTGTGAACTGAGCAAGGGTAGTGTGCATCGTCCAGGGCACCCTGGCCTCGTTGCAGTACAAGCTGCCACTGGCGATGCCAGAAAAATCCCACGCATCGCCACAGTGATGGTCGACCACGGCCTTCAGAATCCAAGCGGCCCCGGAGCACGTTGTCCCACGAGTGCCGCTTTCGAAAAGGCAAATGAAATCCGCATCGTGCGGACTGAAGCTGCTCAAAGGTGCGGGGAGGTCACGGTGAGGCCACACTATCGGCTCAGATGTGCGCGATTGTGGCGTCCAGTCGGTTGTGCTACGAGCAAACCGATGAGAGGTCATTCTTCCAAATAGAGGGAGCCTCTCTTGTGAGCAGGGGTAGCAGGAGGGAGCAGTAGCATAGCATAATTGTTGAGTCGTTTTGGCTCCTGTGCTTGCCTGCCGTGTACAGCCATCCGGAATGTTGAGGTGTGCGAATATGGCATACACACATATCACAGATCCTATTTTTTTTGCCTCTCCCCTCCCTCTCCCAGGCTGCCGCGTCTCCTTGCGGCCAGTGCGGACCTCCCCGCGCGCGCGCCCACGGTGAGTGTGGGGCGGGGGCACGTCCCAAAGGAGCGGGGGGTTTTCGGCAAGTGGCTTGCAACCCACGACAAAAAGAAAAAAGGAAAAAACAACACAAAAAACGCTGTTGCCCGAAGGAGATGGGTCCATATCCGTCGCCGTGTCCACATGGACGTTTGTCAAGGTCGTGGCTCCTCAGCTTGGCGGGCTTGTTTCGGGACTTATGCGGATTTTCTGGGTCTGCCGGTGGGCGCGGGGCAGGGAGACCCCACTCCGTGCTTTGGGGACAGCGCTTGCCCTGCTGCAGAGTTTGCACCATAATCCCGGGTGGCCCGCCATTGGGTACCCCATGCCTGCGTGCACCACTCCTAATGCCCGACGTTGGTTCTCTGGGATCGTTTGCGCAGTTTTCCTACCCCCCCCCTCCCTCTCCTTACCCCAAGGCTGCCGCGTCCCCTTGCGGCCAGTGCGGACCCTCCGCGCGCGCACGGTGAGTGCGGGGCGGGGGCGCGCCCCGAAGGAGCGGGGGGTTTTCGGCCAGAGCCAGGGCAACCCCTAACCTCCCGCCAGCTAGCCGCTCCGCCGGGGTCCTCCCGCTCAGCTGCCCCAAGCCCCTCGGCGCCCCAGGAGCGCTCGGGGCGCTCTCGGCCAGCCGCCGCCAGCCGCCGCCGCCAGCCGGCGCCTTGTGCCGCGGCGCCCGGCCCGTCGCCGCCAGTCGCCGGCCGGCCGCTCGTCGCAGCGCCGCGCCGCCGGGCCTGCCGCCGCCAGCCGGTGCCGCCGCCGCCGCCCTCGGGGCGGCGCTGGCGGCGCAGCTTTCGGCCTCCGCGCGGCCGCACCGCCGCCGGCCGCCGCGCTTCGCCACGGCGCCTGGCCCGTCGCCGCCTGCCGCAGGTCGGCCGCAGGCCGCCGCGCCTCGCCGCCGGGCCTGCCGCCGCTGGTCGCCGCGCCCGCCGCCGCAGGTCGCTGGGCAGAGGGTTGTGGCTTAGGAGGGCTGAATCCCCCCCCCTCTGCCCGTGGACGAACCTGCGGCGGCGCTGCGCCTCGCGGCGGTGCGTTCGCCCTCCGCGCCGCCGCGCTGCCTCGGGCCAGCGCCAGCGTCTCCTCCGCCGCCACCTCCGCCGCCGCCGCCTCCTCCTGCTCTGTGCTGATGGCTGCTGTCGTGGTGCTGCTAGTCGCCGTGCTGCCCCTGGTCCTGGTGGTGCTGGTCGCTGTGGTGGTGCTGGTCGTAGTGGTGCTGGTCGCCGTGGTGGTGCTGGTCGCCGTAGTGGTGCTGGTCGTGGTGGTCCTCCTGGTCGTGGTGGTGCTGGTCGTGGTGGTACTGGTCGCTGTGGTGGTGCTGGTCGCCGTGGTGGTGGTGGTCGCCGTGGTGGTGCTGGTCGTGGTGGTCCTCCTGGTCGTGGGGCTGGTCGTGGTGGTGCTGGTTGCTGTGGTGGTGCTGGTCGCCGTGGTGGTGCTGGCCGTGGGCGTGGTGGTGCTGGTCGTGGTGGTAGTGGTGGTGGTCCTCTGGCCGTGGTCGTGCTGGTCGTGGTGGTGGTGGTGCTGGTCGTGCTGGCCGTGGTCGTGCTGGCCGTGGTCGTGGTGGTGCCGGTCGTGGTGGTCGTGGTGGTCCTCCTTGCCATGGTCGCGCTGGTCGTGGTGGTGGTCGCCGTGGTGGTGCTGGTCGTGGTGCTGGTCGTGGTGGTTCTCCTGGTCGTGGTGGTGCTGGTGGTGGTGCTGGTCGCTGTGGTGGTGCGTAGTCGTAGTGCTGGTCGCCGTGGTGGTGCTGGTCGTGGTGGTGCTGGTCGCCGTGGTGGTGCTGGTCGTGGTAGCCCTCCTTGTCGTGGTGGCACTGGTCGCTGTGGTGATGCTGGTCGCCGTGGTGGTGCTGGTCGCCGTGGTGGTCCTCCTGGTCGTGGTGATGCTGGTCGTTGTGGTGCTGGTCGCCGTGGTGGTGCCGGTCGCCGTGGTGGTGCTGGCCGTGGGCGTGGTGGTGCTGGTCGTGGTGGTGGTGGTCATAGTGGTCCTCTGGACGTGGTCGTGCTGGTCGTGGTGGTGGTGGTGCTTGTCGTGCTGGCCGTGGTCGTGGTGGTCGTGGTCGCCGTGGTGCTGGTCGTGGTGGTGGTCGTAGTGCTCCTCCTGGCCGTGGTCGCGCTTGTCGTGGTGCTGGTCGCCGTGTTGGTGCTGGTCGTGGTGGTCCTCCTGGTCGTGGTGGTGCTGCTCGTGGTGGTGCTGGTCGCCGTGGTGGTGCGTAGTCGCGGCGCTGGTCGTGGAGGTGGTGCTGGTCGCCGTGGTGGTGCTGGTCGCCGTGGTGGTGCTGGTCGTGGTAGTCCTCCTGGTCGTGGTGGTGCTGGTCGTGGTGGTGCTGGTCGCTGTGGTGGTGCCGGTCGCCGTGGTGGCGCTGGTCGCCGTGGTGGCCCTCCTGGTCGTGGTGGTGCTTGTCGAGGTGGTGCTGGCCGCCGTGGTGGTGCCGGTCGCTGTGGTGGTGCCGGCCGTGGTCGTGGTGGTGCTGGTCTTGGTGGTGGTGGTCGTCGTGGTGGTCCTCTGGCCGTGGTCGTGCTGGTCGTGGTGGTGGTGGTGCTGGTCGTGCTGGCCGTGGTCGTGCTGGCCGTGGTCGTGGTGGTGCCGGTCGTGGTGGTCGTGGTGGTCCTCCTGGCCGTGGTCGCGCTGGTCGTGGTGGTGGTCGCCGTGGTGGTGCTGGTCGTGGTGCTGGTCGTGGTGGTTCTCCTGGTCGTGGTGGTGCTGGTGGTGGTGCTCGTCGCTGTGGTGGTGCGTAAGCGTGGTGCTGGTCGCCGTGGTGGTGCTGGTCGCCGTAGTGGTGCTGGTCGTGGTGGTCCTCCTGGTCGTGGTGGTGCTGGCCGTGGTGGTGCTGGTCGCTGTGGTGGTGCCGGTCGCCGTGGTGGTGCTGGTCGCCGTGGTCGTGCTGGTCGTGGCAGTCCTCCTGGTCGTGGTGGTGCTGGTCGTGGTGGTGCTTGTCGCTGTGGTGGTGCCGGTCGCCGTGGTGGTGCTGGTCGTGGTGGTGCTGGTCGCCGTGGTGGTGCTGGTCGCCGTGGTGGCGCTGGTCGCCGTGGTGGTCCTCCTGGTCGTGGTGGTGCTGGTCGAGGTGGTGCTGGCCGCCGTGGTGGTGCCGGTCGCTGTGGTGGTGCCGGCCGTGGTCGTGGTGGTGCTGGTCTTGGTGGTGGTGGTCGTCGTGGTGGTCCTCTGGCCGTGGTCGTGCTGGTCGTGCTGGTGGTGGTGCTGGTCGTGCTGGCAGCAGTCGTGCTGGCCGTGGTCGTGGCGGTGGTCGTGGCGGTCCTCCTGGCCGTAGTCGCGCTGGTCGTGGTGGTGGTCGCCGTGTTAGTGCTGGTCGTGGTGGTCCTCCTGGTCGTGGCGGTGCTGGGCGTGGTGGTGCTGGTCGCCGTGGTGGCGCGTAGTCGTGGTGCAGGTCGCCGTGGTGGGGCTGGTCGCCGTGGTGCTGGTCGCCGTGGTGGTGCTGGCCGTGGTGGTGCTGGTCGTGGTGGTCCTTCTCCTCCTCCTCCTCCTCCTCCTCCTCCTGGTCGTCGTGGTCGTCGTCGTGCTGGTGAAGGTGCTGTTCGTAGTTGTGCTGGTGGTGGTGGCGGTGGTTGTGGTGCTGTTCGCAGTAGCTCTGCTGTCGGCGTTCCTGCGTGCTGCTGTGCCCCGCCCTGCCCGTGCGCGCCCCCGCGCGGGGGCCGGTGCTCTCAGGGGAGCGCTGACAGAACGTCCCCTCGCCAGGGATTCCCCCCGTCTGTCGCTAGCGTTTCAGAGGGCACGTCCTCGAGCAGGCTCGCGGCCAGGGCGTCGTGGATAGCGCACGCCAGCATGCCGCTCCACCTGTGCGGCAGCGCGGTCGCAAGCGATCCTCGCAGCGCCGCCGGCGCGCTCCTCGCCCGGGCGCGGGCCAGGGTAACGAGGAGCTTGTACGCCTCCTCGTCCCAGCGGCCGCCCGTCTCTGCTCTGGCTACGAGCAGGTAGCCCCGCCGCGAGCCCACCAGCTCAGGGCAAGTCGTTTGCTTGCGGCGCCTCGCCCGTTTCAGCGCGAGTCCTGGGCGGAGCCTCCGCGCAGTCGGCTTGCCGGTGGCCCTCAGCGGGGATACGATGCAGGCGTCGATGGCGAGATGCCTGCCGTGGTAGGCAGGGAGGCCGTTGGCCACCACCTCGATGCGGCGCCCGTCGTTGGCGGCAATGCCGGGGAGGTTCATGTCGCGCAGGAACACGTCGGCGCGGACACGGCCTCCTGCCTCCCGGCACACCCGGGCCCACATCCGCTCGATGGGAGCGCCGCGCTTCAGCAGGCGTCCGCTGCGGGGGCAAGCTGCTCTGTGGTCGCCTCTCTCGTCCAAGTGGGCCTGGCAGGAGCGCCCGTTGCACCTGCTTGCCGCGGCGTCCAGCGGCAAGCGGAGCCATCTCTGGAGCAGTGCCCGGAAGCGCTCTGGCGTGAACGTGCTTTCTGGCGTCGAGGGGATCAGGGCCAGGTGCCGTCCGCCGGAGCGGCCCCCCTGTGAGTCGAGCATCCACTGCTGGTCGTCTGTGAGGCTCGGGAGAACGACCTCCTCCCTGTAGCGCCGCTCTAGGGCTGCTGAGGCGTGGTACTGCCATCCGCGCTTCCACTCGCCCGGCTCTGGCTCTGTCTGTTCAGGGCGCGCGCCGTCCCAGACCTCCTGCCAAGTTGGGCACGTCGCAAAGCCATCGCGGGCGGCGGCAGCCCTCGCGCGCTCAGCTTCCTGGAGGCACGAGGCTGCGGCGCCTGTCCCGGCGCGGAGGGCGGCGGTGAGCTCCGTTGCTGCTGCGGGGTTTCTTTGTCGCAACATGGGGAGCGCGTCCGCCCAAGACGCCCAGCACGCGCACTCGGCCGCGCGCGCGGCTGACCTGAGTCAAAGGCCTCCGAGGCCGAGCGGCAGCGAGCTCACTCGGAAGAGCCTCTCTGTTTCAGCTGGCGCGGGGTCGAGGTCGAGGAGGTCGTGTAGGGCCTCGGCGTAGGACCGCGACAGCGTCGGAGGCAGCGTGCGCAACACGTGGTTGCACATTGGCACCGCGCAGTACAGCAGGAGCGCCCAAGCGCGCTGAAGGTCTGGCAGGTTGGGGAGTTATTGTAGGAAGCTGCGCTCCTCGTCCGTCCTCTGCTGAATCAGCCGGGCCGCGAACGCCGCGGTGCCCAGGGGCGCGCCAAGTACCTTGAGGCCGCGATGCTCCTCAGGCGTGCCGGCGCCGCCAACCCACACGTCTGTGCCCAACGACAAATGCCCTGCTGGTTCGAAGCCGCCGCGGTTCCACATGCGGCACTTGCCGAGGTTCGCCTCGATCCCTGCCCACTCGCGCATGGCAGCGGTAACCACGCGGAAAGCCTCTGTGGCGCGCTCTGGCCTGCAGACAATGTAGACGTCGTCCAGGTAGGCGATCAGCGTCTCGCCCGGCTGAAGCTGCGCGCGGGCTCTCTCCAGGGCGCCATGCTGAGCCAGGGAGCACAGCGCTGGCATGAGCGGGTCGCCTGGCTCTCCGCCTTCTCCCTGCCTCACCTCGTGCGCGACTCCTGCATCGTCTGTCCAGAGGTACGTCGACGGCTGGCCGTAGGAGAGCAGGACAAATGGGACCATGGCGGAGGCCTCAGGTAGCGAGAGGAGCTTCTCGATCATGCGGTCGCGGCGCACGTGGTCGAAGACCCCAATGCCATCGATGCTGACGATGGTCGCCGCGGGGTCGGAGTCCGTGGCCGCTCGGAGGAAGTGGGCGGCGCTGTCTGTGCCCGCTCTCATCGAAAGCGCGCACTGGAACAGCGCGCAGGCGTCGTCCATCTCGGACCCATACTGCCGGGAGAGGGCCTAGCCCACGAGCCGGTGGAAGGCGTCGCCGGCAACAATGCCTCGCGCGCGGCCGTTGTCCTTCAGCAGCGCCGTCAGGCGGACTGTGCCCAGGGCGCGGGCAACGCTCGCTGGGATCTCGGCCCGCGCGTAGCGCTCCGCCACGGCAGCTTGCAGCTCGAGCGTCTCGTCTTCGTCCAAGGCCAGCTTGAGCAATTCAAAGCTGGCCCCGCTCAGCGAGCTGGAAGACCCTTTCGGGGCGGAGCGGACGCAGTCGGTCCAGATGCGGCGGTCGAGCTCGACGGGCCGATCCGGCTGGAAGGCTCGGGCGGCAGGCGGCAAGTCGGCGGCGGGCCTCGGCGGTCGCCGGGCGGGGTCCTGCAGCTCTGCCAAAGTCTCCGCCGTGCCCGGCGCCAGCCCGCGCGAGGCGAGCAGCTGCCGCGCCTTGCCGAGGCCTCCTGCTCTGACCAACGCCACCGCGTCTTCCAGGAGGCGCTGGCGCCTCGCCTCGGCGTCGCCCGCGCCGCGCGCTCCTCCCGGAGGCCGCTGCCCTTGCAAGCTTGGGGCCAGCAGCGCTTCCCAGGAGCCGTCCTCGAACTGCTCCAGTCGCGCTTCGAGCTCTCGCCGCCCTGGCGCCCCAGCGCTCGCAGCCCGTCGCAGCAGCATGCGCCAGATGATAACCAGGAGCTTCCAAGCCCTCACCTTATGCAGCCCGTCGGCGTCGCCAGGAAGGGCGTCTGCGCGCAGGACATCTTCGAGGACCGTGTGGTGGAGTTGGCAAAGTCGGCCGCGGAGGAAAGCCGGCTGCGCCCGGATGCACGGCACCCGCCGGCGCAGTTCGGCCTCCAAGTCCACGGCGTCAAGAAGCGCTCAGGCGGCGTCGGGGAAGGCAGACTGCGCCGGGCGCCGGTTTCCTCGCCCGCCTCCGCCACTGCGCGGCGGCGCTGGCGCAGGCGGCGGCGCTGGCGCAGGCGGAGCGGGGCCAGCGCTGTCGGAGGCGCTGTCGCTCTGGCTGTGGCTGCCCTCTTCCTCGCTGCTCTCGTCGTCGTCGTCGCTGCTCGGGTCTCCTCTGCCGCCTGCTCGCCCTCTGCCTCCTCGGGCGCCTCTGCCCCCTCTACCTCCTCCAGCGCCTCTTCGTCCTCTGCCTCCTCTTGCGCCTCTCCCTCCTCTGCCTGGTGCGGCGCCTCCCTCTCCCTCCGCCGCCGCGGGCGCTGGCTGCAGCTCCTCCTCGGCGCCTCTTCCGCGCGCGTCTGGCGGGCCCGGTGCTCCAGGCCCTGCTGCCGGGGCGGGTCTTGGAGGCAGCCCGTGCGCAAGCCATGCCCTGCAGGCGTCAGCCTGCACCTCCACTGCGCAGAGGAAGTCCACCCCCCCGAAGATCTGCATCACGATGTCCTGGGCGATCGGCTGCACGTATCCTCTGTCGTCGGCAAGGAGCCCTACCACCGCTGGCGGCCCCAGTTGGTCCCCGTGCAGCCCGTCTCCGAGAGCCTGCGGCAGCAGGGGGCCCGCCGCGCGGAAGGCGGACACGTCGGCGGGCAGCCTCTCTCGGAGGAACGCCGCGGCGTTCTCCCACCAGTGTGCTGCGGCAGGGTGCTGTCGCCACGCGGCGGCTTCCTGCCCGTCAAGCTGGCCCGCGGCGTCCAGGAGGAGCGGCACATACATCCAGGAGTTAAGGCAGCGGCTGGTCTCTGCAGCGTGTCGCGGAGGCGACCAGCCGCTGAACTGGGTTTGTGGGCCGTCCGCCGCCGGTGGGTCCGGGCTCCCGCCTCCTGCTCCTGGCTCTGGCGGCCGTTCCGGCTGTGCGGCCTCCTCTGGCTCGGGCAGCGCTGTGGAGGCGCAGCTTTCGCAGAGCCAGTCTCCCTGCCACCTCCAAGGCCCTCCGGCGTCCCCGCTGGCCCGGGCGACCCACTCGACCTGCCCTGGCTGGCCGCAAGGGCACTGCGGCGGCCTCTCGCCCAGCGGCGGCGGGACCTCGCTACCGAGCGGGCGACATCGCAGGCGGCGCATTCCCAGCTGCCCGTCAGCCCATCTGGCCCGCGCGAGTGCCGCCATCGCAAGGGTCGCTCCGGGTGGCGCGGGCACATGGCGATCGCGTGCGGTGCCGGCCCCTCCGGCAGCACGAGGGGCCCCCCTCGGTACCGGTTGGCCCGCTCCTCGTCGGAACTCGGGTTGCCTGCAACTCCCCGGCAAGGCAGGCAGCGGCACCCTCGGAAAGGGAGGCCCCCGCCGCGCCCAAGGTGGCCCGCCAGCTCCGCGAGCCGCGCGGCAAGTTCGGGCCGTCGCCCCACCTGTGGTTGCAGAGTGGGCACGCTGCGTCCTCTACCCGGCTGGGATTGCCGCCCGAGTTCCGCAGGTGTGCGAGTCCGCGGCGGAGAGGGCGAAACCGGGCCAGGCAGGCCGCGTGGAAGCAGTGCGGGACGTGGCCGCAGTCGGGCCATTGCACCCTCGAGTCGTCGAGCGGCTCCTGGTGCATGTAGCAAACCTCGCTGGCCTCTGGCTGCTCCGGCCCCTGCTGTGGTTGCTGCGCTGTTGCTGCTCCTCGGCCGCCGCGCGTTCGGCTGACTCCCGCGGCGGCGCGAACAGCCCAGAGAAGCCCCATCCTGCCGCTAAAGTGGCTCTGTCCGGCAGGCAGCGGCGACAGAGACTGGCCCGGCGAACCGAAGAGCTCTCGAGGGGGAGTCTCGGCTTCCGCCGGCCGGGGCGCGGATTCGCCCGAAACCTCGCCCGCTGGCTCGGGCAGGTCCGCTTGCGAGCGTCCGCGCGGCGGCGCGGCTGGGGCAGCGCCGTTGTGCGGTGGCCCTGGGTGGCTCGCCTCACCCACGCGCTGTCCGCGGACGCGCTGTCCGCGGTAGCCGTACAGCGCGTCTCGCTGGTCCCTCCCTGGTGTGCGCAGCTCCTGTCGTGGTACAGGTGGTGCTGCCAGTGTCACTGCTGGTGCTGGTGCTGGTGGCGGCGCTGCCGGTCGCTGTCGTGGTGTTGCTGTTGGGCGCTGTCGTGGCGGTGGCGTTGGTGTTGCTGCTGGTCGCTGTCGTGGTGGTCGCTCTCGTCGTGTGCGCGGTCGTTGAGAGCCGCCGCCTGCTGCCATGGCTGTGGGACTGCCTGCCCTCGCGCGCTCCTCCCTCAACCTCCCCCTGAGACTTCAGAGTCCCTCCAAGAAAACATTATTCCGGAGATCTCGAAGTCAATCCGTGAGTCTGGGCCAGTGCAGCCCACGCTCACAGGGCACCCACGCGGTCGAGAGCTTTCACGAGATCCAGCCTGGCCCCCACGCACTCGTTACCCAGGATCTCCCCAGGGCGTTGCTGCAGCCCCCATGGCCGCTGGCGAACACGAGAGGGCCACAAGCGCAAGTTCACGAACCACGAGAGGGTCCCGCAAGGGACGCCCCGGGCAGCCCACCAGTGGCTCAATCTTCACGACGAGCTCCCTCCTGGGCGAGTATCGGGGCCCGCGAGGTCCTCGAGAGGGCCCTGCAGCACATCGCGGTTCAGGACGACCTAGCCACGGCGCTCCAGGGCTGCGCGGGGGGCCATCGGCCCGCTCAAGACGTCGTAAAAAATAATTCGGGGCTGGCGCCAGCGGCAGCCTGAGCCCCCCAGGGGGGGAGCCCCTTTCCCACAGTAGGACTCCCCTGGGGCCAATTCCCCATCGTGGTTCGCGCGGCTCCCCTGCGGCCCCCGGTGGCGCCCTGGCTTGTGCAGCACGCCCACAGGAACAACGAAGCAACAACTTCGACCACGAGAGGCGCGACGACTCCCAACAGCAGCACCGCGAGCAGCTACGCAGCGACTTCGACCAACAGCGCCGCCACGACGATGACAAGCAGCACCACCACGACGACAACCGGCACCAGCGGCAGCACCGTCACCGCGACCAGTAGCAGCAGCAGCAGCAGCAGCAGCACCACCACCACCACCACCACCACCACCACGACCAGCAGCAGCAGCAGCAGCAGCAGCAGCAGCAGCAGCAGCAGCAGCAGCAGCAAGCAGCAGCAAGCAGCAGCAGCAGCAGCAGCAGCAGCAGCAGCAGCAGCAGCAGCAGCAGCAGCAGCAGCAGCAGCATGCTTCGCTCCCCCCCTCCCTCTTCCATCCCTCCTGGCGAGCCCCCTGGCCCTGGCGCGCTGGCGTGCCGGCGGCGCTGGGTTGCTTGCGCTCGCGGCCGGCGGCGCTGCTGGCGGGCTTTTCCCTTGGGCAGTGTAGGCTGCGCGGACAGCGCGCGACCCGGAGGTCCGCGAGTTCGCGCCACAGGCGGCAGGTGGGGCCGCCGGAGCGGCCGCGGCAGACGGAGCGTGGGCCGAGGAGGCTTTCGCCGCTGGCATCGCGGAGGGCGGCGAGGATCAGCTCTGCATCGACCGGTGGAAGGTTTACGCCGTCGCGGGCTTCACGACCCTCGCCTTCGCCGCCCTGTAATGCACGACCACCGCCTGCCTCGCCGCGGCGCGCTGTTGCTGCGGCCCGCTGGGCTTCTTCGGCGGCCGCGCCTGGGCTGCTCAGCGCCCCGCCCAAGGCGCACCCGACGAGCAACCCGCCCGGCTTGCCGGGGTCCCAGGGGCGGGCGGCGGGCCAAACCCCCCTCCAGCGGCGCCTCGCCAAGCACGCCGCCATCCTCGAGGCGGGAGGGGGGGCAGCCGTCAAAGAGGCTGCGGTGGAGCTATCTGTGCGGCCTGCTGCTGTGCGCAAGTGGGTCGAGCATTGGCGGCTTGCGCAGTGGGGGGCCCAACGGGGCTGACAGCGTGGGCGGCCTGCTGCTCGGCAGGTGGGTGCGCGATCTCACACAGGAGGGCAACCACCCACACCCAGGCCCACCCAGCGCTTTCTGAGTCCCTTTCTGGCGGGCCCTTGTCGACGCGAGAGTTTCAGGACCCGCACGGCGATCATGCTGTCTAGTGCCTGCGCGGTCCTTCTCCGCAACCTCCACCAGCATGGGGACATCATGGCGGAGACGGGAGGGCTTGCGCGCTGGGACGTGTTCGTGCCAGAGTTCCCCAAGGGGGCCTCGGAGGCGTGGCTCGACGTGTGGTATTCTCGCGGTCCGGAGCTCCCGACTTGCCTGCTGGACGTCACCGTCCGGCACCCGGTGGCTGACCGCTACCAGCCAGCTGCGTCCCGGGTCGCCAGCCGCACGGCTCGCGTCGCGGAGCAGGCCAAGCACGACCGGCACCCGCTGGCGCGCGGACGCCGCGTCTGGCCAGCGGCCGGCTCGGCGAGGGTGCTGAGGCCCTGCTCGCCCGGTGCGCTGCGGCGGTGGCCAACCGAGCCTACCACCGCGGCCGCCTCCCGGGCAACTGCCTGCGCCGCTGACGCGCGCAGCTGGACGCGGCGCTTCTGCGCGGCGTCGTCGCGCAGCTGCTGGCCGCTCGGTGCGGCGTGCCAGGCCGCGCGCGCTGCGGCGGGCGCCGCCAGCAGACAGGCGCTTGCTGGAGGCGCGGGGCAGCTGAGGGAGACCTGAGAGGAGTGGGTGCAGCAGCGTAATTGTCCAGACGAGCGCAAGCAGCAGCAGCCTCACCACCACCACCACCACCAGCACCACCACGACAACCACCAGCACCTGCGGCAGCACCGCAACCACCACGGCGACACCCGGCACTGCCACCACCACGACCGCGACCAGCAGCGCCACGACGACGGCGACCAGCCAAACGACGACGACCAGCAACACCACTGGCACCACGACGACAAGCAGCATTATCAGCAGCACCACCATCACGACGACGACGACGACGACGACGCCCAGCGCACCACTGCCACCACCAAGGCTGCGACGGGCACCAGCACCGTTACAGCTGCGACCAACTGCGCCTCAACGAGCACCACGAGCAAAGCAGCCCAGCCCGTTCTCCGAGGGACGCGCGCTGGGGGCTGCGGGGCCAGCGGGTCGGAGAAGCGAGCCACCAGCCAAGCGAGCCACCAGCCACGCCGCCATGAGGGCTATCGCAGAGGAAGCATATCTCGGGCGACTCTGCGCCACTGCCCGCAGAGACTGAGACACCACGCAACGAGCTTCTCTGATCCCCAGGCCGCTCCTATTCGCCAGGGCAAACGACCCCTAAACACTTCAGCGCTGTCTTCGGGCAGGCGCCAGAGGGCGCACGGAACTTCGCGGACGCATTCGCCCCACGAGACGCCGGGCAGGGTGAGGCAGCAACAGCCGCAGCAGCAGCAGCAGCAGCAGCAGCAGCAGCAGCAGCAGCAGCAGCAGCAGCAGCAGCAGCAGCAGCAGCAGCAGCAGGGGCAGCGGCAGCGGCAATGGCAGCAGCAGCAGCAGCAGCAGCAGCAGCAGCAGCAGCAGCAGCAGCGGCAGCGCCAAGAGGCGCCCGCGCGAGCCACACCAGCGTCGCGCGCAGGGAAAAAGATCCCGCAAAGCGAAACAGGGAGGGGCACTCCAGCACAAGCGGCCTGCTACGGCGCCCACTTCCACTTGGTCTACCGCGCCGACTTGGTCCGCCACCTGGGAGAAGCCACCAGTTGCCTGAAGTGCCGAGCCCGACTGCCGACCACCGCCGTTGCGGGCCAGGTATGCGGCGCAAGACGTGGACCTAGTGGGGCCGCCGCCCCCTGCCTGGGACACACATGCCCAGGCTGCCCCCGCCCACGACGGTCCCCGGAGCTTCGCCGAAGGCAGAGAGCCACCGCCACCGGAGCCACCGCTGGTCCGAGCGCTCTGCTGCCGACGCGTCGGCCCGCCCCCAGGCCCCCGTGATCAGACAGGCCAGCTGCGCCCGGGGCCCGGGCGCCAGAACCGCTCGTAGGCTTCAAGGCGCCCGTCTTGAAGCCAGAGGAGGAGGAGGAGGTCGCGGCAGAGGAGGAGGAGGCGGAGGAGGAGGCGGAGGAGGAGGAGGGCCCCCAACAGGACGCCAAGGACGCCGATGCCAGCACCACCGCCAGCGTCCACGCCGGCACCACCACCGGCGCCTACACCAGCTTCGACGCCAGCACCGCCGCCTGGGACCACGCCAGCACCTCCGCCAGCGCCGACGCCAGCCACATGGACCCCTGCGCCTACGCCTACGCCAGCGCCCACGCCAATGCCAGCGTCAACGCCGGAGCCGCTGCCCTGGGCGGCGCCGCGGGCGAGCTCTGGAAGGGAGCCTCCTCGGGACACATACACTGGCGCCAACGCGCTCGCTCAGGGCCCTGCCTGGGGTAGCGCCCCCGGTGCTGCTGGAGAAGGGCCGCAAGGAAGGAAAGCAATAGGCCTCCATGCTTCTTTCTTGTTCTCTTCCTTTCTGACCTGCCCCACTCGGCTCAGGAGGCCCCTCAGGTGGCCCCCGTCTGCCTCCAGCAAGCCTTGGTGAGAACGACCCCGCGGGCGCTCTGCAGATCGTCGTGCGACACGTTGGCGCGGCGTGAGGTTATCCTCGCCCAGGGCTGGCCGCAGCGCCACCGAAACAGAGTCTACATAGGCGAGCGAACTGGCGTCGCAAGGACGGCAGGACGACACGCACCGCGAGGAGGGCGCCGACGACCGGGTCCTCACACCTCGCTGCAGTGCCGGACACGGGCCCCGGCCAGGGACAGCTCGAGCAGCTGCACGCGGAGCAAGACGCCCCCGGTCCGTCCAAGCGCCCCCCAGGGCAACGTTGTCATTATGCTGTGGCCCAGTCGAAGACCCCCACAACCCATGAGTAGTACCACCTCTCGTCGAAAAGCTGGCCCACTGCAGCGCGCAGCGATGGAGACCGACGCAGGCGATCTTCCACCCGCCGTCTTCGAAGGTCTGGCGGCGATCGCGTGCCAGGCACTGGCGCCTCCTGTCCACCCCCAAAAAATCCTCGCTCGGACCTGGGGTGACCCAGATCGCGCAGCAGTGGCTGCCAGCAGCATGGGGGCGCGGACCCCTGGGCGGTCCGCCCAGGGCGGTCCGCGATGGATCTTGAGGGTGGCAACCGAGGGGGGCCCCTCTGGGTCCTCCGCCGCCTCTGGTGCGGTTCGGAAGCGGCCCCTGACTAGGCCTTGGATCCAGGGAACGGCTCGGGGACCCCACGCGCTCTGGCCGCGTGCCCTCCACGCATCCACTGCGGGCACGGGCGGGAAGCGCGGGACGGGCTCGGGCCGAGAAAGCTGCAACTCTTTTTTGGACCCACAACCGCTGTGCTAACATTGTCGCCGCGTCCCTGATCACCAACATCAGCGGCAGCAGCAGAAGGAGCAGCAGCAGCGGCAGCAGCAGCAGCAGCAACAGCAGCAGCGGCAGCAGCGGCGGCGGCGGCGGCGGTGGCGGCGGCAGCAGCAGCGCAGCGACGCTTACCGATGGCCCGCCGATAACTGCTGCATCTCACCACACCCGCGCCGCGCGTTCGGGCACGCCCCTGCCCAGGCTTGCCTCCCCCCCTCTACCTCCCTTGCCGGCCTCCGAGGAGCTCCAGTAGCTGCGGAGCGCGCCTGTGGTCGCCGCGCGCCGTCGGAGAAGGGAGCGGGGGGGCTGCAGCAGGAGCAGCAGCAGTGGCGCACGCGCGACTGGCTTAAAGAGTTGTAGTTCTGGTTGGTTCGGGCCAGAACGGCGTACCTGGATTAGTAAAACTCTGAGCGGGACCTGCAATTGAGAACCCCCACGGCGTTATCGGCCACACCTGCTCTGAAACAGACAAGTCCAGAGGGGGCGCTGAGCGATATCGTTGTTGAGGACACCAATCAAATCACAAATTGAACAAGTCCGCGGAAGGCAACAGGAGGAGTCCTTGGTGTTCTCATCGATGAAAAATTTCGCCTCTGTCCCCACCGATAGCTCCCATACTTTTTCAGAGGGGGGCCCTCCATGAACATCGAGCCTGATCGGTGACGACGACGGGCGACGACGACGACGACGACGACGACGACGACGACGACGACGATGACGACGACGGCAGACGACGGCGGACGACAGACGGAGGACGACGGACGACGGACGGACGGCGGACGGCGGACGGCGGACGGCGGACGGCGGACGACGACGACGACCGACGAAGACGACTACGCGCTGCGGATACCCCATGGACGGGGGTGCGTGGACCCGCAGTAGTCGACGACGGCAGCGACGACGACGACGACGACGACGAGAAAAGAGCTTACTGCAAGGAAGGTCGGGCAGGGAAACGGCTAGGCCACTGGCGGGGGCCCGGGGCGCCAAGACACGAACAAGGAAATCGGCACAGGCAAGAGCAAAGTCAGTCAAAGTCAATCCGTTGCCACTTCCCGCCAGGACATTCAATTAATCGCAGGGGCTTGCGAAGAGGGAACTCACAAGGCGCTTCTCCCCCATTGCGCTCGCCTGTCCGGAGGCAGTTTGCCTGATCCGCCTGCGTCCTCGCATTGGCTTGTGGTTGTGCCGCTGCCAGGCCCCCAACAACCATCGAACAAGGAATACTGCAACCAGCATTATAAGGCAAAGCAGCACGAAGGCAACGAGCGGCAACGCAGCGACAGACACGACAGCAACCAGCCAGAGCACCGCACTACACACTTAACCTGACAAGCGGCACCACAGGCAGTAACACAGATAACAAGCAAGACCACCTAGACCTCGACACTGCGACCAGCAGCGGCCTCACAGCAAGCACTATACGAGTGCGAACAGCGTGGCCCCTCCCGCAACGAGAAGCGAGCACAGCGAGCACCACAATTGCAACACCAATACCACGCGTAGCTACACCAGCGCAAAAAGCAACACCACAGGCACAACGATCGCCACCAGCAGCAGCACCACAGAAGGCACTGCGGCTGCGACCGACACTGCTCGCAGCTCGTGCGGAGCTGAGGCCAGCGCCGCGACGGATTACTTCCCTGGCGCCGAGACTTCGATTCGCAGAACAGCGAGAAGGCTCGGTGCCACTGCGTGTCTTGCTTGTGCACGCGCAAGGCCGAGAATCAAAGTGGGCCCCACGTTCGGCATGCTCATCGTACTTGGCAAGCGACAAAGTTCCACCACCTCCGCAGAAGAGCCGCACCACCATCGTGTACGACAGAGCGCATCGCCCTCCAGCACTCCGCATCCGTCTCTGCTGGCTCTGCGCGCACGCGCTGGCTCCAGCACACGCGAGAGCTCCCGGGCCCAAGCTGCGCGCCACCCGTCCCGGTCAGCTGCGACGCGGAGCCCGCTGCCTCGCGCGCTCGCTCAGGGGCGTGCCCGGGGCCCGCGATCCAGCAGAGCTTGCGGCGGCAGATCGCGCTCAGCAGCTAGCCTGGCGGGGAGATCTCCGCAGACAGCCCGCACGCAAGCGCTGCGCGCGAGCTCGCGTGGTCGCCAACGCAAGTCGGCGAGCCCTGACCCCCAGCTGGCCCAAACTCGCACGCTCACACACAGCTCGGCATTGCCAGTCTAAGTTTAGTAAGACCTGGCTCAATAATGTGCGACGGTGTGTGCCCCAGCCCCGATCCGAAAGCTTCACTCGATCGCCTGCGGGCCAGCATCGCTAGGCCAATACCTGTGTATGAATCCGACACGCTTGGAAATGAGGAAGCGCGGCAGGCGGCGCCGCCCTCCGGCAACGCGCCGTTCCCCCGCTGTGAGCACGATAACGCGCCCTAAACGGGGAAGCGGTATCGCAGGGCCCCACGCCAACCCCACACACAATTAGCCTGGCGAAGGACCCAACCATACGCAGTTGTGAGCAACGCAGGTGTGAATATCATCTTCGGTGGAGCTCCCTACGGGGCCACGAAACGTGGGAGGGGTGTGCCGAAGTGGGTGGGGGGCGCATGTGGACGGTGGCCTTGCGGCCTTCGGTGGAGCTCCCCACGGGGCCACGAAACCTGGGTGTGCCGAAGTGGGCGGGGGGGCGCATGTGGACGGTGGCATTGCGGCCTTCGGTGGAGCTCCCCATGGGGCCACGAAGCGTGGGAGGGGTGTGCAGAAGTGGGCGGGGGCCGCATGTGAACGGTGGCACTGGGGCCTTCGGTGGGGCTCCCTACGGGGCCACGAAGCGTGGGAGGGATGTGCCAAAGCGGGTGGGGGGGACGCACGAGGACGGTGGCACTGGGGCCTTCGGTGGAGCTGCAGTGCGCATGAGCACCCCGACGAAAAAACGAAGAGCACGACAGCGGAAGTACGCGGGTCGTGACTGGGTCTGCGTACGTACCCCTCCGCCCCGCTGGACCTCCCAGAAGCCCATGGGAGTGGCGATCGTTGCGCACTGCGCAGCCCCCCCAGGGAGCCGCGAGGCCTCGGTGAGGTGCGCGTGGCACCCCACTCGGCCCCGCTTGCCAGAAGTCCACGAAAGTGGCGGCTGTGCGCAGTCGCAACAAACCCCAAGGAGCTGCGAGGTCTTGGCGAGATGTGCGTGACAACCCACTCCGCCCTGCCTCGCAGGAACTAGCCACGCAGGCAGCTGCGTGGTCTTGGCAGGTCCGCGTGGACTTCCATCCCGCTGGACCTCCCAGGCGCCCACGAAAGCGGCGACAGTTGCGCCGTTCGCAGCCCCGCAGGGCCCGCGAGGTCTTGGCAAGTACGTTTGGTCCTCCTTTCCGCTGGACCCACGAGAGCGGCAACGATTGTGCGGCTCACAAACCTGCAAGCCCCGCGAGGTCTCGGCAGGTCCGCTGCGCACGAAAGCGGCGACAAATGCGCGGTTCGCAGCCCCCAGTGAGTCGCGAGCTCTCGGCAGGTCTGCGTGACCTCCACTCCGCTGGACCTCCCAGGCGCCCACGAAAAGGCTACAACCCCTAACCCCGGATAATAGAGTATACCCCCCCTCAACCCCTGAGTGGTTGTTATCCCCGGGTCAGGCAGATTTGATTGTGGAGAGGGGCGGCGAGGTCAAACTTGACTATCGCGGGGGGAAGTTGCGAATCGAAATTGTCATCGTTTTCTGTTGACTAGCAACATCATCAAAAACGCTGAGCATGGCAATGGAGGTCTCACCATTTCAGCTTTCGCAAGTCAAGAGCCTGTGGCAGGGCTATGGGATTCTCACTGCGAGGGCCACCTTTAAGCGCGAGACCTGAGGACACCAAGGACAGTGTTGTGCGAGTATCTAGGTACACGAGGGCCCAGATTCCATCATCAGCAGCAGCAGCAGCAGTATCAGCATCAGCATCAGCATCAGCATCAGCATCAGCATCAGCCTCATCATCATCATCATCATCATCATCATCATCATCATCATCATCATCATCATCATCATCAGCATCAGCATCATCATCATCATCATCATCATCATCATCATCATCATCATCATCATCATCATCAGCATCAGCCTCATCATCATCAGCAGCATCATCATCATCATCATCATCATCATCATCAGCAGCATCATCATCATCATCATCGGCATCATCATCATCATCATCATCATCATCATCATCATCATCATCATCATCATCATCATCAGCATCATCATCATAATCATCATCACCGTCATCATCATCATCATCACCACCACGACCACCATCATCATCATCAGCATCATCATCATCAGCATCATCATCAACATCATCAGCATCACCACCACCATGATCAACATCATCATCATCAGCATCATCATGATGATGACACTCACCATCATCCTCTGCCAAGAAAATTGTGTATTATCCCCCCCAGACCCCGAACTTTATTATCCCCAGGGGTTTAATATCACAGGTAGGTGGCGAGGTTTCGGTAGGGCCGAGTGGATCTCCACTCTGCTGGACCTCCCAGGAGCGCACAAAAGCGACGACAATTGCGCGGTCCGAATCCCCGCAGGGCCCGCGAGGTCTCGACAGGTTGGCGTAGACCTCTCTTCGGCTGAACCGACCAGGAGCGCACAAAAGCGGCGACAATTGCGCGGTTCGCAGCCCCCGAGAAAACCGCCACGACGTCTCGGCAGGTCCGCGTGGACTTCCACTCCGCTGGACCTCCCAGGCGCCCACGGAAAAATGGTCAGTTGCACGGTTCGCAGCCCCGCAGGGCCCGCGAGGTCTCGGCAGGTCCCCGTGGACTCCCACTCCGCTTGACCTCCTAGGAGCCCACGACGGTGGCAACAGTTGCGCAGTTCGCAGCCCCGCAGGGCCCGCGAGGTCTCGACGAGGGTGAGGACGACGAGACGAAACAGGAAAGAGACGGGGTTAAAGGGAGGGAGCGAAGGCGAGGCGGGGAGGAGGGAGGAGGAAGAAGCAGGAAAGGGAGACTCGACCACAGTGCTCTATTCAAAAACGAGAACCCAACACAGGAGGGTAAGGAAAAACCGGCAGCAGACTTGATGTACTGATTCCGGCCCGGTGCAGCACCGAGCCCTCATAAGTAGCACGCGCCAGCGCAAGCGCCGCCCCAAGGACAGGGTCACAGACTGGAACTACCGTGGCCGAGCGCTCTCAGGTGATTCGCCACGCTCCGCGAGGCAACACGACGCAACGAAAATGTCACGAATTGCAAGACCGCCAGTAACTGAACTGATCGCGCACGCCGACGCGCGTCCACGCGCAAAAGCTACAACTGTTTGCGGCTTCGGGGCCCTATCACACTATCCAAATATATCAAAATTCCATGGTCCAGGTCCTGGGTAAATTCGAAACTTGAAAATTTGCGCGTGACACACAGCGCGTCACGACACTCCCGTCGTCCCAGCAGCGGCCTAGGTGGGTGGTCCCCGCGGCATGGCGCTGCTTCGTAGTCCAGCGTGGTTTTCAATGTTCTGTTGTCAAGCGCCCGCGGACACGACTGCCGCTGGCCCCTCCTTGTCTTCCTCCACCCCCCCCCCATCACGTCACGCTGACAGGCGCTCTGCGCGCCCATTACTGCGGGCCGCTGCTTTTTGTATTGATTCGTCCAATGTCCATTGAAAGAAGTACTGCTACCTTTCCACCGGCTGCTCGCGTCACTCCGCCGAGCTTGGGCTAAGGTTGCCAAGCCTCACGCTGCACTGCACTTGCATTGCGCGAGCGTGCGCTGGGCTTGACGAGTGTTTCCCCTCTCCGTCCATCTTACGCCCGACCAAATCTTTCTGCCTGCTGTGCTCGCCTGCTTCCTGACGCTGCGCGTTTCTGGGCCAAGCGCGGTTGCGCAGCAACAAATCCCCACTCAAAAAATGCACCCGTTCCGTCCTTGCACTGGCATGGTTCCGCGCAGATTGTTCTGACAGCATTGTGGCATTTCCCGAGTGCTGCCCAGTTTGCGATTGGCCAGCTCTGTGCGGTTTGCTCATTGCATGCTTGCGTATTCGAGCCAGAAGCAGAGGAACTGGCAACGTGCGGCCAAGAAGCCTTTTGGATACGACAAGCAGAACTGGCAGGGAGCGCGCGGTCGGAAACCCTGTGCACAGGGGTTGGCACTGCGGCTTCGCAGCTGGAGCAAGTCGCTCAAACGAGGGCGAGTCGGAGGGCGCCGCGCGCGGGCGAGCGACCAACCGCTGCACAAGCCTAGACTGCCACTGCTAGAGGGGCGCCCCGGAGCAGGGCAGCTGTGCGTGCTTCCGCATGTGCCTGCAGTGGCCGCTGTGCCACCCCGCACATGGCCAGAGTACCCCACTTAGTATCGCAAAGCTGCCGACCCCCAGCGGACATGTTCGACCCTCATGAGGCCACGGAGCGTGTGAGGGTGTGCCGAAATTAGCGCGGCGCCGTCATGCGAACTTTCCTACTGAGGCATTCCGTGAGGCCCCCCATGGGGCCACGAAACGAGGAGCGTCTGAGGGGTGTGCCGAAATGGGTGCGGCGCCGCTATGCGATCTTTCCTACTGGGGCCTTCGGTGAGGCTCTACATGGGGCCAGAGGCGTGTGATGGGGTGTGCCGATATGAGCGCGGTGGGGCCTCCTATGGGGCCACGAAACGTGGTAGGGATGTGCCAAAATGTGAGAGGCGCCGCCATGCGAACTTTCCCGCTGCGGCCTTCCCTGAGGCTCCCCATGGGGCCAAGAGCGTGTGAGGGGTGTACCGAAATGGGTGCGGCGCCGCCATGCGAACTTTCCCACTGGGGCCTTGGGTGGGGCTCCCTGTGGGGCTACGAAATGTTTGAGGGTTGCGAAAAAATGTGCGGGGCAGAAGCAGGGATAGGAGGAGGGAGGGGGAGGAGAGGAGAGGAGAGGAGAGGAGAGGAGACGCGGGGCGCGGTGCATTCAAGACGAGGACCCAACACCACATAATGGTTGACAAAAAAAGGAGTGGTTGAACGGAGGCCACTAAGGGCATCGATGGACCCACTAGTGCAGCGACGGAGCCGCGAAAGACGACTGCGGAACCACCAAAGGCAGCGAGGGGCATCCAAGGCGGGCGAAGGGCAGCGGGGGGCGACTGCGGTCCCGAACAGGCGGGTCTGGCTGGCGGACCCAGAAGGGGCGGGTCGAGCGAGCGGGTCGCTGAAGCGTGAGTCCTGCATGAACCGCCAGGAACTCTCTAACGATAGCTCGATTCCCAGTTCAATCGTGAGGACGTCCAGAGCGAGAGCGTGATTCACTAGTGTCGAGGGCGCGGCGTCTGAATAAATCGCTAGAAGTCCCACGCGAGAGCGCGATTCCAAGGTAAATTGCAAGGAATTCCCGAGCGAGAGCGCGTTTCTTCAACACATTGTGAACAATTAGGTAGATTGCGCATTAGATTGCGTATTAGGCGGGGGCCGTTTTTGCTGTAGTTCGGGGGCCAACAACCCAGTCTCACGCGCAAGACTTTCCCTTGTTAGAAGACAAGACGCGAGCCCCGACGAGCCCCGAATAGCACGCCAGTTGAAAAACACACGTGCTACCGAAAGGGGGGGTCAACAATCATTAAGCATTGGACATGAGACTTCAACAGAAGCCGGGATCTCGCCTCTACACCGCCTTCCCCCACGGCTTCCTGCCGGCGCCCGCCTGCGGGAGCCGATGGCCGCGGGCGTGCCGCTGGAAGGAACGGCGACAGCAGCTCGCTCGCGGTGGTCCCGCCCGAGGGAGGGGACATGTGCCGGAGCCCAGGCGCCTCCATGAGGGGGGTTGGGAACAAGTAGGTGGCGACATCCGAACCCTACCCCCGCCAACCGTCGAGCCTCCTGATTCGATGAGAGGTGGGGGGAAGGTTTGGATTTCACCACGTGTTCGACGAATTCCGAACCCTACCCCCGCCGCCCATCGAGTTGCCTGAACTGTTGATCGGCGAGGGTACGGTTCGGACTTGGCCGCCGCACATGGCAAAGCGACACCACCGCCAGGGACCTGGGGGTGACCCAGTGCTTGGGGGGGACATCGACCTGAAATCGGCGGTGCAGCGCTGATACATCGATCGGCAATATGCCCCTCCCCGATGGCGAATCCGCACGCTCCTGCGCGGGCTGGGCTATGGGGCCCCTATCGGCGATCAATGGGCGATTCGGGGTCGATGTATACCCCCTGAGCCTATCCCCCCCTACAGCTGCCCCTGATTCTACCGGCTGCACGCAAGAGTGGCCCTGGACAGGAGGGACCTCTGGTGAGCGGCGTGCCGACTGCCGCATGCGATGCGGGAGTAGCGGCCTGCACCGTTGGGCGTTGCCCCTCTCCCCCCCGAGCCCCCCGAAAGCCGGAAAGCCGTGCATCAAAGAGGGTCTTTTACGTGTCGCCGATCCCAGGCCCTCGCTGCGAGGACCGCTCCACCCTCCCTGACCTCCTCGCGCCGTGAAGGTTCTGACCGCTCGGGTGCCTTCGGCAACTCCGGGCGGTTCTCCAACCTCGGGATGCCTTCTTGCAGCTGCGCCTCGCCGAGGGCGTCCCGAACCATCTCCGGAGACCCGAACTATGACCCGAGAGCCGAGGGCACTGATCGCTCACGTCGTGGAAAATCACCGCGGGATGCTCTTGGCCGTTCTCGGCCTCGGAAGGAGGGGGGCAGGGGGAGGGGGGAGAGTGGAGCAATGGTCGCAGCGAGAGCTCCACGACGCCTCCGCCTCACTGCAGCCCATCGCGCCCGCGCGGGCGCGCAACATCAACAATAAAAAAATCGAAACAAAGCAAGACCTGGAGCCCAAAAGGACGCACGTGCGGAACACTGCAGCAAGAATAATCAGATCGGCGCGCCGCGTTCGAGGACGGCAGCGTTAGATCATCTGATCATCAGGAGCACACAGTGAGAACCGAAGCAATGTTACTCACAACGCAAGCCGACGTTCTCTGCTGGGCCGCACGAAAAAAAACGGAAGAGCACCGAGCGCGCTCCGAACCACTAGTGCTCCTCACTCCGACGTGCTGGCTGCACTACTCCCCAAATACCAACAAATACCAAATCCCTCCACGAACACCACAGGAGCCGAAAGACACCAGGCGACCCGACGATCGTTGAACACATGTTCCGACAAACGCGGGGACGTGTGAAAGATCCTGACAAAACCAAGAGGTGGTGAAGGAAGAGAAGGAGGTGAGGGAGGACAAGGAAGAGGCAGCCGCAGAGGAGGAAGCGCAATATTCCTTACCACGTGAAACGTCAAGGTCAGGCAGAGAGCATCACCCTACGGGGCGCGGTCCTGTGAATGGCAAAGCTCAGTGCTGGTGGGCCTGCAGTGATCACAGTGCTAGACAGAGCATTAGCTCCATCAACAAGGGCTCCCAACTTCGCGTTTCGCGCTGCGCGAAGCGCGAAGTGCGAATAATTTCGCGCTCTCGCGCCGCCTCCCAGGGGAGAAGAGGAGGATGAGGACTGCAGAAAGGTCTCTCGTGCCAGCTCTTGGTTGAGTCAAGCCAGAAGCACAGGGAGGAGACGAAGGCAACGACGGGGAGAGGGGAGGGGAAAGAATGAGGCGCCAGGAGGAGGGAGAAGCAGGAGTAGGAGGAGGAGGGGGATTTGGGAGGAGGAAGGATAGAGGAGGGAGGAATCAATTGGTGGAGAAATGTAGGGGCAAGTCACGGACGGGGGGGGGGGCCTGACATGTAGAAGCTTTGGGCCCGAGCCATGAGAAAGAGGAGGAGGAGGAGGAGGAGGAGGAGGAGGAGGAGGAGGAGGAGGAGGAGGAGCAGGAGGAACGATGTGAAAGGAGGGTGCGAGAGGAGGGAAGCAGGGAGGAGAGCGGAAGGATGGTCCAAGGAGGAAGGTGGAGGGACGTCGGAAAATCAAAAGGTACCGATACTGCTACTCCCCTAACCTCTCATGGGGTGGCGAATCCAGCGTCGGCGACGCGGAAAACGAGGCAAGGGTAGCAGTATCGGTACCCGCTTCCTCCTCCGAGGATGAAGCAGGAGGGAGATGGGAGGGCGAGGAAGGAAGGAGTGACGAGACGGAGGAAGCAACGCAGCACAAGTGGTCCCATCACCAGGGCGGAACAATCCCACCTGGGAAGGGGAGCACGGCTGCGCTCAGCACACGGAGGACCCGTGGAACGCAGCGATACCAAGAGCGCATCACGAGGTCCACACAAGGCCCTGGCCTGGCAGCGGACAAGTGGAGCTGCAGGCGGGGGAGGGGTGGTCGGGGAGACGGGAGACTCGGGTTCGGGGGACTCGGGTTGGCCTGACGGGGCCGCCAGGAAAATGACTAGACCCAATATGTGACGCGAGCCCCCGCTGCAGACATCCCACAACAACTGGACCGTCAAAACTCAGGACGGGCGCGTCAAAAAAGCTCGGCAAATCAGAGTTCTGGCGAGCTCGACTTCCACGCTTCCCCGAGCTAGGTGAGGCTTGATGTATACACCACGTCGTTAGGTCGGCCAGGGAGCTCGGTGCCTAGACGCTCTGGCTGTCCGACCTGCGGGACGCTGGAGTGCCTATACACCGAATCACTTCGCCGAACTCCCATGCTCCCTAGCTGACCAAACGACGTGGTGTGTGCATCGATCCCCTCCGAGAGGCCGTCTCAAAAGGCAGTAATCTTCCCAGGAGGAACGGGTCCCTGAAAACCAACGCGCCCACCGGCCTCTAAGAGGAGGGGGGTCCCCCGGGAAGCACCCCGCTGATCCTGCCCACCACTCTCTGATGTCGCCAACCATGGGGGACAAGATACCGATACCGGTGCTCCCCCGACCTCTCGCAGGGTGGCTTTTGACCAGAAAAATTCGCGAGGGATCCATCCGTGGCGGGATACTGATCTGGACGCCCGAAATGGGTACGGAAAAAATTGGCACGATGTCCAACAACAAATGTTGTCCAAAACTGGCAGCGGCCGAAGATGGGCAGGCGGCCTTCTGTCTCAAATGGGCAACGTCCACAGCGATGCCGACAGCGAACCCTGTTCAAAGTTGACAGGAACTGCTGCCGGCCTTCGAACCAATGCTTTCCGTACCCATGTCGATCCTACCGAGCAGTGGACGCGGAAAGGCATCTCACCTGCTGCCGGCGAGCAGTTCCGCGGGCAGGCGCCCGCTCGCGGTCCACAGGGGCGCCCCCGAGGGGGAGCGTGAGACAACTCGCGTGCCCCAGGCCCCCCGGCACATGAAGGAGGAGCGCCACTCGAGCAAGCCTGTCGGCTGATCTACCAGCCAGACAAATTAAAAAGACTTGGGAAATTCGGACAAAGATATGCGCTTTCAACTCGGAGAGGGAGCGGAACGGGGGAGGCATGAAGGGGGGCAGGGGAGGGGAGAGGAGACAGGGGCATCGCAACTTCATCACACAAAACTTGATGCACTCGCCAAGGAGGAGAGGGATGAAGGAGGGCGAGGGGTGCAAAAGGAAAAGCGAGGATCCGGGGGAGGAGGAGAAGGGAGGAGGAGAAGGAGGAGGAGCAGGAGGGAGGAAGGAGCAGCAGGAGCGAGGAAGAAGGAGAGAGGGAGCAGGAGAAGGATGGAGCAGGAGAGAGGAGGAGCAAGGGCAAGGAGAGGGGAGAGGCAGGAAGTAGCAGGAGGAGGGAGGAGGAGCAGGACCGAAGGCGGAGGCAGGCAGCCCAACATGGAGCCGCTGCTGCCCTGCCAACTCATGCAGGTCGGAGCTATTTGAAAGCTGCCCTGGGACGGAGTGATCACTCGTGCATCGCCCCCCCCCTCTCTCGGTGCCAAGTTGCTCCTGAGAGCCGCCGCCGGTGCTGCTGCTGTGGAGCCGGGGACTGGCGTGCCGATGCGCCGCTCGTGGCGCCAGCGCGGGAGGCGGATGAGGCCAGGAACGACGTGCATTCTGGTGGGCGGCATGGGCTGCGACAGAGGCCGCCCAGAGGGGCAGGAGGAGGGGGGAGAGGGGGGGGAGGGGAAGAGGAGGGAGGCAGGGGGGAAGGGCAGGAGGAAGCAGGAGCAGGGAGCAAGCGGGAGGAGCAGTAGGGAGAGGACGTCTGCAGCGACACGAGAAGCACACAGATGGGCCGACACATACAGAGCTCAGCTCGCCGGTTCAGACAGCCCTAAGGGCTCATGCACGAGAGATTGCTGTTCAGCCGCTCCACGTAGCCTGGGGGGCCCACAGAGCCAGTCGGATCCACCTTGGCGGCGCGCACCGAGCGGGAGGGGCGAGGGAGGCGGCCGTCAAAGAGAGCCAGGGGGGCTTCCTGGGAGAGGTCAGTATCCTGTTGGGGGCTCCTGGAGCTGCTCATCGGAAGGCAAAGGCGCTCTGCAAAAAGGCGAAGTGCCTTCCTGGATAGGTCCCCCCCCCCGCCCAGGTCCCCCCCCCGCCCTGACCCCATTTGCAAGCCAATCCCAACCGCGATGGACGAGATGATGGACTGGTCGGAGTTACAGGAGGACTTCGTGTTCAGGCTCTTCCGAGAGATGATCTGCTCCCCAAGTTGGGAGACCACGACCTTCGCGCGCCCCCGCAGGGAACAGGAGGGGGAGGGGAGAGGGAGACGATGGGTGGGGAGAGAATGGTAAGAAGAAGAACGAAAGAAGAAGAAGAAGAACGAACGAACGAACGAAAGAAGAGGTGGAGGCAGGAGAGGGAGGGACGAGGACGAGAGAGGCATCAGAAGAGACGATGCCAGGCAGGGCCCAAGGACGGAACCACGACCTTAGCGGCCCTCCTCCTCGTCCTCCCCCTTTCTCTGTCCCCCTCTCTCTATCCTCCGTCCCCCGTCCTCCCCCTCTCTCTATCCCCCTCTCTCTATCCCCCTCTCTCTGTCCTCCTCCTCCTCCTCCTCCTCCCCCTCTCTCTGTCCTCCATCCCCCGTCCTCAGAAAAAAAAAACTCCTCCCTCTCGTGTCGGCCGGGCGGGCCCGGTGCCTCGCCCGAGACGTCCCAACCAACACAGACTGCTCAAGGTGGACACTCCTCCTCCTCCTCCTCCTCCTCCTCCTCCTCCTCCTCCTCCGTGCAACAGCCTGGCGGGTGGAGGGCGGGTCGTTTTCAGAATGCGGCTCTCGCCCAAGCGCCGCGCAGATTCGCCTTGAGCATCTGCTCGCATATCACGGATGAGAGGCGGCACCTCTTCAGAATGTGGACCTCGCCGCAGCGCCGCGACCAGTCGTCGTTAAAGGTTTACGAGCGCTGCACGGCTGGAGGGCGGTACCTTTCCAAAATGTGTCGCTCGCCTTAGCGCCGCGCACACTCGTCTTAAAAGGTTACAGCAATTTCAAGGAGTCGTGTGGTTGATTGCGTTTTGGCACGATGTGGGACTGTCAGGGCGCAGTACTTACCTTGATTCGCGGGAATGGCGTCCCAGGGGAGGCGTTCTGGCACGATGCAGGATCGTCAGGACGCAACATCAACGTGAATTCGCGGAGTTGAAGTCCCAGAGATGATCTGGCACGGTTATGGATGATATTCAAACAGATGTCTTCTCACGGGGCACTTCCTTCAGTGAAAACAAAACCTTGTAGGAACCTACAAAGAGGGAACTTAGAATAAGGGCTCATTGCAATATCGTCGATGAGTTTTGGGTTTACGCTGGTCTTCCTCCTCCCCCTTCTCCTCTTCCTCCACCCCTCTGGCTCGCAAATACGTATTCCTCGCCGTGCCAAGCGTTTTCCAAAAAGGCTGGAAGCTCAAACTACGCTCTCGCCTCAGCGACGCGCGAGCTCGTCTCAAAAAGCCTCCAACAGCTACGCACATGTAGAAGGATGCGTACCTGTTTACATGCTTATCTCGCCTGGGCGACCGCGTGGACAACAGCTCCACATTTGCTTGCACGGGTAAAAGGCAGAACTGAGTGACCTAAATGTGCTCGCGTCGAGCCCCACACATCTTCATGTACGGTGTATGTATGACGAAATGTTTATACTATATATGTATATAATATACGCAAACTAGAAACACGCGCACTTCGCGCGCGCGTAGGCTCTAGCGCAGTCCAAGCCACCCTCACAGGATCGGACGAGGATGGACATCAGCCCGCATGCATCGTCATATGAGAGCGTACTTCCTAACGGACGCGTCAAGGGTCGCTGAAAAAGCAGCCCCCTAGAGATCAGCTTGTTCTAAGCACATACAGCGAGCAGCTGCCCGAAGATAACTTCAGTGAGGCTTCGGAAGGCTCGTGGCCTGAAGACCGTCTTCAGCGGTCTCGAAGATTTCATGACCGTCTCGAAAGCCCCTCGACCTATTTCGTAGGTGTCTTCAGAGGTCCCTTGGAAACCCTGGGGTCAATGATTTAGGGCAGTTCGAATCATCTGAGGGCTGCTAGGGTCAGTCGAAGCCGTCTGGGCCGCGGCCTTGGGGACCCATTAGGCCGTATTGCGCCTTGCTGGGGCGCGTCATGATGTTGCACGACGCACGGTACAAGTTAGAAGATGCGGCTCACTCTTCTCATGGAGGCGACGTCCAGCAAGACTTCGCACATTTGGTATGCGTGCAGGGCGAGACACCAAGCTGTTTGTTTTTGCAAGCGCCCAGGCAGGCTCCAGGAAGGCGCGCAGGCCAGCCACGAGGGGGACCCAGGGCAGCTTAAGGGGGGGCTGCCCGAGAGCCCCTGAGAGCCTGGTAAAACCATGCTGGGTCTTGTTTGGATGTCTGTGGGGGGCGCTTTTGGAAGGCTCTTAAGGGCTTCTGGGGGAGGGGAGCTCTTGGAGCGGTGGGGGGGGGGCCTCCTGGTCGCCTCCCCAAAACTCTTGGCGTCTGGGCTCGAAATGTCCGCTTGGCTCCCTGTGGCCGTTTTTAGGGCCTCTTGGACCGACTTGGAGGCCTCCTGGGCCGTCTTGGCGCTGTCTTGCGTCGCATTCGGGTCGTCTAGGGGGCCTGTTGGGCAAGGCTGGTGTTTTCTTAGGGACCTCTGGGGCCGTCCTGGAGCATTAGAACGCCGAAAAACAGCGAAAACGCAAACACATGAGAAAATAAACAGAACTATGTGGCCTGGGCATCATGGGGGCC